AGAGTTTAAACCTTGGTCGGATCCGGTCCGAAGCAGCCCGCCACAGGCTCCAGCAGCTGATGGCGGTGTTTCAAACCCTCCAAGCGGGGCAGGGGAGCTGAAACCTGGGTAGGATCCAGGGTGCAGCACCCCGCCTCAGGCTCCAGCAGAGGAGATTGGGGTTTGATTCACATCATTAAACGCCTTCCAATGCGAACAATACAATTGAAAGAATACGTTTATACAGAAATAGTAACAATGTAATTAAACAGACAGGACTCCAGGTTTAAATATGAATGTATGGATTTCTTTTTCTTGCATACACTTTATGGCCATCCCCGGTGGGATTATAAAACACCGACACCACCAACAAATAATCAGTTGCCGGACAATAGGCACAACATACATATGCTTATTTAAGTTAGCAGGTGAGTAATGTATGTGCAAGTGTTTATTTTAAATGCAATAAAATAAAATATCAGAAAAAATAATTAGTGGTAATCATTTTAATTAACCCCTTAAGCCCACTAGCCCCCATTTTTGGGAGCACCCCTCCTACAGCAACATTTAACTTTCAACCATTTGTTATTACAGGCACTAACAGTGGGTCTAAGTTCATACGACTGAGTAGTTAATATTTATGTTACTATTTATGATTTTTTTATTGCTTCTTTACAGTGAAAAGCTGCTGATGTGTAATTTTAGGCATATGTTCATGTGTATATGTGCATTTCATATATTCTGTTAATAGGAATAATTGTTGGCCCTTTGACACAAAATGTATTGATTTAGAAATTACTAAAATATTTTGAATTAAGTATACTGTACAATTCACAAGACTAGTAAACTGATATTGACCATACACTAATCTTTAAAAAATATGCTGCAAACACAAAAGCAGAAAAGTTTTGCTTTAGAAAAAAGTTCAGAAAAATGAAACAACCAGCAACAACTTTTATTGGCCTTACAAATACCTTCCAAAAAAATAAAATAAAAAATGTCAACATAACACAACAGCCTCTTCAAAAATTCAGATGAGTCCAGAGCTTTTCTGAATTTCTCCGTGCATATGAGCAGTTTCTGTTTAGCCTCCTTGCTCATGTTTTTTCCATGGCATAGGACATCAGCTGCCTCTCACTAATGAGACAAAGATAAATAGCAATTAGTAAAAATGACATTCACACCTAGAGGCTGTCATAAACAATGTGACAACAATACATATAGACATTAGCACTGTTCTTGTGTTTGTAGGATGCCTCCAGTCATACTGCTGTACATTTCTGTGGCTTTGTCCGGTCAACATTCATGGACAGCTGAAAGTGCATGGATGGTTGCCTGAGTAATGAGGTGAACAAAAGGACATCTCTCATGTAGACGTTAGTCTGTCATGTTGCAGGTAACAAGATATTAACCATGAGTTATAGACTGACAACAGTAATGCTACAAAATATTTTCAAGTGATACATACAAATTTTCAGAATGTACCTCTGGCAGAAGCACATCCATCATGAATGCCACTTGATTGTGACATCTGGTTGTCTGTGCTTCAACCAGGCTAGTCAAGAAGCCCATCACTCTGTCCAGCTGCTCATCCTCCTCAAAGAAAATGTCCACCCTGCCCTTTGATGAAGCCCAGGTGGATGACACTTTTCCTGCGATGATTGCCTGTAAATAGAGATATTTTTGGAGGATGCTCAAAGTAAATGTCCAAACACTAGGTTAGCAGAAAATGTTTCACTTGAATAATTCATGAGTCATGTTTTGACTGAAATTAGTTACAGTGTGCAAATTTAATTATAAATTTAAAACTCACTTCCAGATGTAGCAGTAGGCCTTTATCCTGAGTGATAAATGATATAAGAAGATCACTGCTGACTCTTCTTTGGTCTTCAGCTTGCTGAGCCCTTTCCTAAAATTAGATCAAAAACCATTTAGATGCTGAACAGAATTATTCTGGTTAAGCAGATAAAATAAGTTGTTTCTTGGTCCTTTGCATGTCCTTACCACAAGCCTGTCAAAAGACACGTCTTTACTCAGGATCCCAACATCTCTGGTTGTGGTGACCACGTTGTGTTGGTCCATGCTGTCATTGTCCTTAATCAAGACACACTCAAACATGACTTCATGCACAGCAGTTAAAATTAATGGGGGCTGTCACTGGTACTGCTGGAAACATCTTTTTTGTCACTGCTGTTGTCAGTGATGGACGTGCCGACTCCGTCGGTGGAGGACCCGCCGGCACTGCCGATGCCGTCGGCACTAGTGGTGGAGCTGCAGTCATTGCTCCAGTCGTACCTCCCGTTAGGCAAGACTTGAAGTGATTCAAGAACAGCTCCTTTCTAACAATAATTTTTTGACAGAAGCTGCAATGATAATGGCTAATTGGGACACAATGCAGGTGGCATTTGTATATGTTATATTCTGAAAGAATGACAGAAAGAAAATATGGAAGATAATGAATGTGTAATTCAAGAAAATATTTTGTACACAACAGCTAAAAATCTTTTCAATAATATTTATAGAAAAGTAGCTCTAAGAACTTAAAGGGGCATTATGGAAGTTTGACAGCCAAAACATGTATAGAAATAATAAATGTCTTCTTCATACATTCTCCTGCAATGCCCTGGTCCTGTAGAATGAGCCCTGGCATTTTTACTGTGATTACCTGTTTTTCTGTAAAATCACAGAAAAGGAGAGATGCTCGGGTCGAGCAGGCTGCTTCATGCGCGTTCACGCTCAGGCATAGCCCGTAGCATTTGCCAGCAGAGAGTGAGGTAGTGCCAACTCAGCGACTTTGTCGCTGTTCCTAACGCCTAGTGATGAACCTAGCTACATTTCTGAGGACCCTTAGCCACTTTCTTCTAGATATTTCCTGCAAATTAGCAACAAAATAGCCATTTTTGCTCCGAACCGTTCTTTGAACGTTGTTTCAGCTGTCATCAAGCTACAGATACAAAAGACGTTACTGGCATCTAGAAAGACGACGGATTCCTGTACGGAAGATCCAGGTTCGAATCTAGATGTGAACAAAATTTATTTAGAGTATATTTTTTACATTATTGGTATATTGTTTTGCAGTATGATGCCCAAATTTTTATTTGAGACTCGCCGAACGGCATTGAATTCACAGATAAAAAAGATGTGGGTTCAACTTTCATTTTGGAACAATTTTTCAAGCAAGGAAAGGGAATGATCTGATCATGCAGGAGGACTGACCCATCATAAACCTTTGTCGGCTGTGCTGAAGAGAAAGGTACAGAACCAAATTATTTAATTAATTAGCTGCGCATTCTCCTGTCCTCTGTCCTTCGGGCCGCACACACACACACACACACACACACACACACACACACACACACACACACACACACACACACACACACACACGGAGCTGACTGACTCAGCTGTTATTTTCATTAAGGAGTGTGCACGTACAGCATGCGCGCCTCGTGCACGAGCCTACTATTGAAGCTGCCGTTTCGCTTTTTGCCTGAGGGGGCAATCGCGAGCATAAAAATTCAAAACTCCGTAAAGTCCCTTTAAAGCTGTTTTCTTTTCAGTGTTGATCATTTATCTTGCTAGACAGTCTAAAGTTCTGCCTCTTTGGTTCATCGGATGCCTTGGCAGTGAGTAGTGTAACTGATGAGCTTGGTGACATATTCCAGTTAAAATTATTATCATGCTTCATGATAATCTCTAATTATGATGCAGCATTACAATTAGGGATGGGAAACTGAGAACAATTTCCAGTTGAAAAAACAACAAATATCAAAGGCAGACCTCTAGTGCGGAGCAGTGCAGCCTTCAAACTGTACATAGGATGCCTAAAGATTAACAGTGACAACAAAAGGACAGTTAAGTTTCCCCGCACAGAACACCGACCATATATTTATAATGCAATTGACAAATAATCAGATCAATAAGGGGAACTGATAATGGCAATGGTATTAACAAAACCTTATCAATACCCGTGGGTAGACTTGCCTCCATATTTAACTACAGATTTCTGGTGTCCTTGTAAATGGGGTATTAGGGCATGGTATGGCTCCACCTTGTGGCACAGTGGGCACTGATAGGTGTCCGCAGATTGTTCTATTAATTTGGGCCATGTGCCCTCTTTAAATGTTGTGGTGCTGGTCTATAAGAGAACAAAACACTATTAAAACTCATACTTTTAAAAAGAAATACAAGATTAGAGCCAAAATTATATTCCTAACCTATTTATTCACTTCAAATCTGAATGCATATGTGTCTACCAAATCATGGTCAATTTAAGCTTTTGCATTCTTCCCTATTTTCTAATGTTTTTGTGTCTAAATGACAAAACAGGAAAAACATTATGAATGGGTCTACTAGGAAGAGGCAGCTGCAATTAGAAACAATCTTACTGTCCTAGCAAACATTCGAATGTTTAATGACAGATGAAACAACGTCAAACCGACACGTTCCGTCATGGTTGAAAAATAGTTCCAATATGAAAGTTGAACCGACGTCTTTTCTGGCCGTGACATCGTCTTTCACTTGGACGTTTTATAATAAAAATTTAGGCTTCTTATTACTGCATTAATGTAAAAAATATATATCATTATTGTAAAAAAATATCGATAGTAAAAAAATAACAAATCACAAGCGGAGACAGAATATCGAATGTTCCTAACTGGTTCCGAACTCGGATCCTCGGCGTTTCAGGTAGACATATTCCATGATGAGTCATAAATGGTCAATTGTTACGAGTTCTCTTGTCTTCGATGCTTCGAACACACAGGCGTCTTTTGTAGGGGCGTGTTTTGTAGGGGGCGTGGTTTGTAGTAGCTGGGGCTGCAGCTAGACCTTACTCCAAAAACGTGATATTGGAGCCTATGGAAAGGAGATGTCCAGTATATTTATGTCGATGGCTGCACCCTAACCCGAACCCACTGACCCCTCACCCTCCCTCCACAAGACTAGTGAGAACAATTGGGGCAACTTTAATTAAAAAAAAACATTTTTAAGAAGCTCAAAGAATAAAACCTGAGAGAACATTTGATTAACCTTAAAACAGCTTTTATTTTTATTAAACGTTTTTGCTTATAGCACAAGCTCAGAGTGCTCCGCATTCAAAAACAGTGTGTAAGTACATGGAAAACATTAACAAAGAACTTGTTAGAGACAAAAAACCTGCTCATGTGATTTAAACAAAAACATGACAAACTTTTATGGAGCTAGTCGGAGCAATCATGTTTTACGTGCCAGTTCTGTGTCTGGCAGTCACCTACTGGTTTTTTGTGTTTGGGTCATAGGATGTGTGTTTCTGAGAGAGTAAGAAATTAAGGGTCAAACACACACACACACACACACAAATCAGATAAGAATAGAATACCTGCTCACCAGTGTCCTCAATCTCCGTACATCATATTCAGTGTACCCACAAGGATATATTGGAGGTTTTAAACACACACACGCACACACACACACATACACCATCAAAGGTAGATTGACTGACAAACTTGTTTTTGCATAGAAAGAAATCTAAATCATTTTTGCTCACCAGGGGTTTCATTTATAAAACATTGTTCTGTGTGCGCACAAAGCGGTAGAAGTGGTAACGCTGCTGGAATTCATAATTGTATCCTTGCTTACGCAGTTTTCCAATCCCGTTTTGTGCGTAAGCAAACTTTATGAATGAGACCCCAGCTCTTTAAACACATTTAACTCAGTATTTAGAATAAAGTTACAAACAAACATGTCCCCCAACTTCTCTGTTGTGTTCTGATCAGTTCTTGGTGGTAAACACACTGAAATGTTCTCTAGAAGATTTATTGCTCTGGACTAAAAATCAGTCAAGGCCTTGAAGATGCATCTGTAGGTTTAACTAGTCAGACTCAGACCTGAGACTCTGATAAAGAGGGTTTCTGTTTTATGGTGTCATTTGTTGAATCCTTTGGAGGGAGGTAGAACATTTTTCTCCAGCATCTGTAAGGTGTGTTGGACTTGTTTCTGGACTCTACGGAAGTGAAGCCTCTTCCAGAAGCTCGGTTGTTGTTGACGTCCCCACTCAAGATCTTTCAGGAAAATCTACACAGAAAAACGATGACCTCGCTGAGAGCCAGTTGGCAATGAGACGTGTCACTGACATAATTACCTAGTTAAAGTTTACTAGTATAAAGATGAAATACAATTTCACCAGAATATGACTCGTTTTAGACATTGAATTAACAATACACCTGAAGAAGTTTCTTCTGTAAAAGATCAACAGCAACAAATAAGGTGACCTGGCGATCCAAACCAAAGCAACTGCCACTCGATCGAGTCGAGTGGCAGTTGCTTTGGTTTGGATCACCAGGTCACCTTATTTGTTGAACTTTGCATCACAATTCTGCAGTTGAATTTTTACGAATGAACATTTTGTTGGTGTGTTTTAAAAGGAACCCAGGTTACAAAACTTTGTGGTTCTTAAAGGATAAATGTTAGTAACATTTATATTAAAATGGTGTAAAAAACCTTCTTAATGTCTTCATTTTTATAACATTTGTAAAATAGTTTAACTCGTAGGTCACCATTGTTGTTAGTGTCACACTGCATTCTGGGTAGTGACGTCATATGGTTGTACCTCGGTTGCACCGGCCGGCTTTGGGACCCTGTAGTGACTGTTCAGCAACATCAACATGTCATCTGTTCAGCCTTTTCAGTTTGAACCAGAGTGAAACATTAATGATGACATCACCGATGATGTTTCACAAAACGAGCGTCAACATGAAGAGCAAGAAGGGCGGGATGGAGCAAGAGCAGGACAAAACCGGTGGTGCGTGTGCGGCAAATGCATCTCCGTGGAAACCAAGAGGGAGAGTGTTTGTTGTCAAGAGCTCACATTTTTGTCAGCAGAAGTTAATGGTAAACTATCGTGTGATCAAACTTATTCAATTATAATCCAAGAGCAACCAATATACGTCATTGCCCCCAGAGTGCAATGAGTGTGGAAAACATGGCGTCCTACGTATGTCCAAAAATGTACTAAATATTACAGATTTATAAATAAATGGCTATATTTTGTGTGTTTCTAACAACATGTTTTGGTACAACAGAAAATGTGTGGCTTATTAGGGCACACACGTCCTCATAGCTGGAGTTCCTTTTAACCCTCCCACTGTCCTAATGGGTGTGACCCCACGAGGAAAGTTGACCATTGAGCAGGGTTGATGGTTCATCCCTTGGGTCCATGTGGCAGGGGTGAGGAGTGAGCACCACCTCACCCCTGCCACGTGGACATCAAGGGATAAACCATCAACCCTGCTCAATGGTCAACTTTCCTCGCGGGGTCACCCATAAAGACAGTGGGAGGGTTAAGTAAATAAATACTCAAATACTTAAATTCACAAAATAAAAATTGAATTAAATAAATTGAATGTCTAACAGAAGTCACATTCTGGTGGACTGTATTTCTTCCACAGCAAACCAAAACGATCTGCAGTTAAAGCTGCGGATTACTCTTTCGCTGGCTTGCGTACCTCGAGCTGCTGCATGACACGTTTGCGTTCCCAGGTTGAGGCATTCTCTCGGATCACGCTGAGAATAGGGTGCCAGTCTTCTGAGATGTCTGAACCTTCAGTGACAGACGCCAGAACCCTGACCCTCCGGTTGCTGCTGGCCTTTGATACGCCTCGGACAGACAGCGATTGCTTCCCCAGATTGCTGATAGGGTTCAGATACAAACTACACACAGAAACACAGACACCAGATGTTCTGCTCATAGAACAACCTGTCAGATAGACACTTATACAAATAGTTTTGGTGGCCTTGATCTGATATTTGTAAAACAAATCCAATGAGTGTGGTGCACTAAGTGAATTACACATGCTGATAAAACCACTCTGTGCAACTAACTGACCCAATACAGCAGTTTACAAAAAGCTTCAGAATACACCCATAGAGGGATGAAGATGGCCTGGTGTCAGGGCAGCAAAGAAGCATGCGAGACAGGCTGATACAACTGAGAACTGGAGGAAAGGAATTTTCTATGGTGAACCTTTCTGATTGTCTGGAGAAGAAAAGGTTGAGCAGCCCTGTGTCCTCCAACGATAAAGCATCCTGCATTTGTGTGTGTGTGTGTGTGTATGTGGGTGCTTCTCTTCCAAGGGACTGGACTGGACTCACAGTTTAACAGCTATGACTAAAGAATGGTACCTAAACATCCTCCCAGATGAACTCCTCCAGCCATCCAACAACAATTTGGTGATTATAAATGTCTTCTTCAGCATGATGGAGCACCAGGCCAGAAGGATAAAGTCAGAACTAAACGAGGTCAATCCTCAAGAGGCCGGAGGACCAACAAAAACAGACTCATTTTGAAATTTTCCGAGCATGGAGGAAGAATGAGCTCCATCAGTCAGAATCTGGGCCAGTCAGCAGGTCAGGAAGAACTACTGAGGTCTTGGAAGAGAAGGACCAACATGGAAATATTGACCCTCTGTGTAAAATTCATGTAATTTTGATTTTGTGTCATTTATGAAATTCCCATAATTCTATTTCAGTGATCAAGGACACCTCTGAAAAACGCTTGAGTCATCCTGTAAACGTTGGACCCAGCTGGACTCATAAGCACTACAAACAAACTCAACTCAAGCAAATACAGTTAAAAGATATGAATGATATCATGCTGTCGATGCAGAGAAAAGCTGCTCACTGCAAAGTGTGAATGCTGGGATGCTCCCTGCAGGCATCAACCAGAATCATAGCTGCGCTGTCTCCAATGTTGTTGTAGGCCACGTTGAGCTCCTGGAGCGTGGTGTGTTGATGGAGCCTCTCGGCCAACTCCAGAGCCCCACTGTCCCCCAGCCCAGTGTGCAACAGGGACAGGTGCATCAGCGACTGGTTGTGTGGAAGAGCCTCTAGCAGGGTGCTGCAGCCAGAGTCCAGCAGTGGGTTGTCACACAGCCTATAGAGAGGACACAGTTATCTCCATGAACTTCCTCTGTAGGGACTGGCTCTAGCTCTACAGATGAATCCTAACCAACCTTCTAGCTGCTACAGGATTAGTTGGGAAAGATTCACTCATCTGGTGCTATAAACTCAACCTCATGCATTCATTGTTATAATACCCGTGACATCATTAACAATTAATCCAATTTCCTGGTCAAACTGAAAACATCTCCAAGAACAGACGAAGTTCGACCTTCTTCCAGTTGGAACAGAGTTTTCCTCTCCACCTTCACCCATCCGGGTGGAGGATTGTGCCAAAGAAAAGATTTGATGTAATTTGATGGTTTCTCTAAATAACACAGCTGTGCATATCTTATCGATTACTTGTAATCACTATGGATAATTACACTCAGTGTCACAATCGTATAATTATGTGTTTCAACATTTCTGCTGGCTAGAACATCTTTAAAATCACTTTTAATCATTCTAATATTGTAATAAATAATTAAATAAAGGTGTAGTCCTACTGTAGAGAGCTAATGGAACTCTTGGGGTCCAGAAGCAGGTCTCTCAGTGTGACGCAGGACTCAGGACCCAGGCTGTTAAACTGCAGACTAAAACAACAAACAGCAGACACATGGATGGAACACACACAGGTTTAGTCTTTACAAACATAACTGGCTAAGTTTAGGCTCCCACAGAAAGGTTTGTCACAAACTACCACAAACGCTACGCTGAGCACCTAAAACAGCAGAAGGATTACTGGGAAAGTAACAGAAACTCCATCCAGGTTACAATGTGGTAGCACCATGAAAACCACCAAACCATTCCCCACCGGCGGGTCTCACTTGAGGCTGTGCGTGTGTCTGAAGGCAGGCCACAACATCTGGAGCATGTCATGATTCAGGAGACAGGAGGACAGGTCCAGCTCTTTAAGGCGATAGCTACAGAGAAAATTCAACCATGAGAAAGGCGGTTTGAGAGGGACGTGAAACAGAAAAACCAAAGTTAAGAAACGGCTAAAGAACTTCCCAGGCTGGGATTATTAAATGACTCATGGGAAGGTATGGTAGCTCGCACTAATAAACCTGTCGCTTCAGTTTGACAGCTTGGCTCTCTCGTTTTCACTGAGCTCCTTGGATAAGTGAAGTATCCTAAAAAAATAAAGATGTTCAATTGTTTTTAACCTGTTTTAAGGAATAACCTATCTACAGCAAACCAACGGGCTGTCAGTGATGGAGTTGGCACTTCCTTTACCCTGTGTTGTTTGTTCCGCTGCAGCTAGAACATTCTGTTTATTGACCCAACACTCTCAAACTATGACGGTTTCAGATACAGCTTACCTTGCAGGGGTGCATGAAAGCACTGAGCTGAGTATGAAGCATTTGAGTGAAGTCATACGAATGTTAGTGAGACAGATTCTTCTGATCGAAAACAGAACCTCTTCGGTCAGTCTGGGATTCTGAAACTCATACAGAAGGACTAGCAGATCCATCAGCTCTTCTGGAGGCAGAGGTTTGCTGATCTCTGGCATAAAAGAAGAGAAACATCGATGAGACTCCGCCCCTACCAACAATGGTTGCAATCAAAATGTAAAAGGGTTGTTTGGTACGCTCTTTACTTTCCTATTTATAATTTGTGGAGTTTTGCACTTTATTTCAACAGTGGCAGAGGAGTTAAGCGCTCACTCCATAACCAGAGGGTTGCAGGTTGGAACCTTGTCTGTCACAGTCGTTGTGTCCTTGAGCAAGACACTTAACCCTCGTTTCCTGCTGGTGGTGGTCGGGGTTTGTGGAACCTTAAAAGGCACTACATCAAATACAAGCCATTTACAATTTTCTATTCTAACAGAAAGGTGCAGAGTAGCTAGCTTATAAACTGTAGGGAGAACTTTGTTAATGGGAGCTAGATCAGCAGTCACTCTGGAGAGCATGGATACAAGATGTGTGACCACATTCCTGGTGGTGTGCATTCTTACATCAGTGCAAAAGAAAATAGTCCATATTTGACAAAAGAGAAAACACATATTAAAACATAAGAGGATGTCTTAAGTTTCTACCCCAAAATCTGATGCCCTGACCAGCTTACAGCAAGCAACATCTTCAGGAATATAACCAGAACATCTTGCCAGTAGACCAGGATAACAAGGGCCCTACATCCTGCAGGAATGAGGGCCAGGGCAATGGAAAGGGTAAACTTTAATGAAGCTCTTTCTAAACTGGGTACTTGGTGTCTTTCTTCTGCCCTTCGATAATAGGTTAAAGAGCAAGCCTTCCTCCACTCCCACTTCCTGTTTGAAAAAGGCAACAAATGCCTGGAAGACTGAGAGGGTGGAGTCGATAAAAACTCACACAGGCTCACGACATTGTGACATCATAATGTACCAGCTAACGTCATTGTGTACCTCTTAGTCAATAGTGATGGCAGATTTTAATTCAAATGCAGTGCAGGTGTAACCCTGGTTAACATAGATTTCAATAAATAAATAAAAAGCTAAAACAACAGTCATAAAAATTACATTAAAAGTGATAAATAATCAATAAATAGACTAAAAGTGTTTAAAATGTATTAAAAACACCAGGTATGTTATAATTCAGGATATAATATCTATTTGTGATTAGAATATATTGGAAAGAACAAAAACTTTATAAACTCATGTTGTTTACAGGTAAATAGATGTAAAATAGCTGAAATCCTGGTTCAGACTCTTATTTTGAAAAGAACAAGTAGCAGCGTAACCCATTTGACCAGCCACAGCCAACTGGGTTGTTTCTAAATTTTCCCTCCATTTTCAGTGAAACCGAGAGAGAGATTCATTCGGGTTTTGCAGAGCTGCTGCCATGAAGGAATAAAACAACTGTGGAGGATTCTACTTTAAGTTATTTTTTTGTACTTTGAGGTATTTTTGTTTTCTAACTTGTCCGTGATTTGGAAATGTCGTGTACATAACTGAACGGGACTTGGTGAGTCAGATATTGTAATTCTATTCAATTCAAGAAATGTTTTGATGTAATATACTGTTTGTTTTATGTAAGCAGAAAGATAAGGTAGCACATCTGTGTTATTTATGTTTAAATAATAGATATAAATGGTAAATTGGCATTGTGTTCTGCCGCCATTTTGGCGTGACCTTGTGTCGCACCAATTGAGCTAAATGGGAACTCTTTTTTAGTGATGTTTAATGGCTACCTGTGTATTAGGGATGTCCCGATCCGATGACATGATCGGCCCCAATCTGTCATGACTCCCAATCTTTCAGCCTTCATGCTGCACACCTGGTCCCCTCATCAAGCTCCTGACAAGCACTGTTTCCCTGGCAACCACAATCAGCTTCATCCACTTCACCTGCTCCTGACTCCTCAGCTCATCACACACCTGCTTCCCCTGCTACATAAGAACCAGCCATCCAGCCATTCACTGCCAGATTATTGAATGCCCTTGCAAGTAAATCTTCCAGCCTTTTACCCTGCCTGATCTCAGCCTCTGGACCCATGGACGTAATTACACTTTAGAAGTGGGGGGGACATGGGGTGGGGGTGGGGGTATCTTTACAGTATGTTCTAATGGGAAACAGGCTTCAACACAAACGGTTGTTTTCCGCTTGGTCCTAGAGCTCAACCAGTGTCAATTTAATATAGCGCAATATTGTTTTTGGATGGTAAAAAATGCAGGGGTCAAAACTTGACTTTGGAAAAAGTGGAGGGGACATGCCCCCCCCCAAAAACAAATTACATCCATTCTGGACCTCGTTTTCGCTCCTTACCCCTGCCTTGAACTCTGCCTGCCACCACGACCCTCACCTGTCTGATACCTCGTCTCAGCCTGTTCCCTGTACCTGCTTGTCCGATCTGGTTTTGACCCTCGCCTCCTCTCTGACTCTGTCTCCAGCCTCGCCCTCCTCTGGTAACTCCACATCAAATAAAATACTTTATCTAATTTTTACTGTGTTTGGCGTCTTCACAGGTCTTATGAGTTCTGTTCGTGACACGATCACGTGGTTTCAGGCTGATCGGGACTCGGGCTTTACTTACGATCCAAGCCCCGATCCGAACTCGAAAACTGGGTTCAAATTACAGGAGAGCAACTTGGTTCTCCTTAAAGGTTGTCAGGCTCCCGTGATGACCTTAACTTACACACCCAGGAGCACAAAAGAGATCCAGTTTCTACCTTTATTATATGGACTAGCAGGGATTCTTTAGAGCAGAGATGCAGAGAGCGGCAGGCAGACCGCTGATTATTCATGAACTCCAGCTGCGTTCTGCACACGGCCACAGTAACATTTTCTAAGTTTCTACGTTGCGTCACCAAAAAAAATATATATAATTAACACACAGTCATTCGTGTCCGTTCATTTTCTCTCTGGCAAGTTCTGTCTGTATTTGAGCATGACGTGTGGACGCGCTCACGCTGCAGCGCTCGTCACTGGCGCAGCCGGGCAGCGCGGCGCACACTCCGCTTTTTTTGTTGTTGTTTTTTTGCAGTCAATGGATCAATTTGATCTGCTATTTAAAAAGTTACTCGTGAGGTGAAAAAGAAGGAAGCAGGCAGGAGTTTTTCTGGAGGACTGGGAGATGCAGGAAGACCAGAGACAGACAGGACAGGAAGATAGGAAAATAAAAACCAAGAAAACAAAACAAAGTTCTTAAAAAAATAAAATGTAGGTAGATTGATCCCACTACACGTTTGTACCTGTATAAAGCGATAATTTATCAGCATGTAGTATGTACATAGTTGATACAATTCAGATCATCTTCAAAACTCCGTCCCATGTCCAGGGACGTATCTAAGCATTTTGGGGGCCGAGGCAAAATAGACCCCTGCCAGGTATTTTAAGCTGAAGTGCTATCTGTTTTTATATTAGACTTTTTATATTGCAGTGAAGTCCAAAAGTGAAGAATTTATGTTATTTATTACTTGATTGTTCAAGCTACCTCACAGAAGTGATCTGTTGTTAAAAATTAAGCCTTTAAGCGCCAAAGTCGCAGAATTGCGACAAGCAGCAATGTTGGATTTAATAAGCCACAGCAGCAGAAATGAGCCCTCATGCAGTTAATATGTTACACTGCGGGGTGGCAGACACCTGTAACTTCAATCCAAGCAGCATTTGTGAGTGTGTTACTATTCAAATTTTTGGAGTATTTAGAACTTGGACCCTGCCCACCAGTCGCAGAGTCGCGGAGGGTTGTCAGAGCGAGTGAGAGCGAGCGAGTGGTAGAGGGGAAGAAAATGCTGAGAGGAATGTTCAGTGCTGACAAAACTCTTCGTCTAGCACTGGCAGATTAGGATTCGGAGGAAGAATATTTCCTTTCCAAGGATGATCTGCGGTCTGCTAGCGAGACGGAAAGCGTGGCTTCAGCGCACAGCAACATGGAGTCCGTCAGCGGTTACACAAGCGGCCCATCCAGCCCTTACCTTGTGCGATGTTGCGTGTCACCTCCGTGGGGAGGGATGTGGTGGCGGTGATCGGGCCAGTAAAGACTCCGCTGGTGACTGATTCAGCCCTGGGGGTGTAATCCACGGGAATTGGAGCCGGGGGGGTGCCTCGAGCAGCTCGTACCGGGTCCGTGCCGGGGGTGGGGGTGGCCGGTGAAAACTCTGCTGGTGATCAATTCAGCCCCGGGGGTGTAAACCGCGGGAATTGCAGCAGGAGGGGGAGGAACCGCAGGAAAAAAATCACTGCTAGCAGGGGGTGGCCCAACACAGCCTCAGTGACAATAATAATGATGATGATGGCTGGGTTAGTTTGGGAGAAAAACAGTATTCCAAGTGGATCAGGCATTTTGATGAGCTAGTTGGATACTGTGGAGACAGGGATCAGTCAGATTCAGAACGCATTGATTTTCTGTCAGTTTTTTTTTGGATGAGGAATTCTGGACCCTCATCACAAATGAAACTAACCAATATGTTCACCAGTATTTAGAGAGGGAGGAACTGAAATCTAGCTCCAGATGCAATGACTGGTACAATGTAACTGTCCCAGAAATGAAAGTGTTCATTGCCATTCAGTTCTGCATGGGGCTTGTGGAAAAGCCTGAGATTGAGGATTTATATATATATATATATATATATATATATATATATATATATATATATATATATATATATGTCATTTATCTGCTACCTCTGGAGTCAATCTTTCGTAAACATGACCTATCATTCCATCTCTATGCTGACGATTGCCAGATTTACTCTCCATTGTGTCAAGAGAAAGGTCACTCTATCCAGTCCTTTGTGTCCTGCGTTAACGAGGTGAAGTCTTGGCTAATGGCCAACGTTCTGCATCTGAATGAGGGAAAGACAGAGCTCATTGTTTTTCACCCCAACAGCAGGAATGTGAATCGTCATGTTGATCTTGGGCCTCTTTCTCCATACTCAAAACCAGTTGTGACCAGTTTGGGGGTGAAACTTGATGCTGGACTTAAATTTGATGCTCACATCAACTCTGTGATCCGGTCCAGTTTCTTTCACCTGAGACGCCTTGCAAAAATCAAGCCCATGCTGTCAAGAGCCCACCTGGAGCGGGTACTCCATGCTTTGTAATTTCTAGGCTTGATTACTGCAGCTCTCTCTATGCAGGGTTGTGTCAGTCATCACTGCGTCGCCTACAGGTTGTGCAGAACAGCGCAGCCAGGTTCCTGACTGGGACCAGGAAACGGGACCACATCAGTCCGGTTCTGACCTCCCTGCACTGGCTTCCGGTTTGCTATCGTTCACACTTCAGACTCCTCGTCTTTGTTTTTAATTTCTTCCTGGGTGTGGCTGCCCCCTATCTGGCCACGCTCCTGAACAGACATTCCCCATCACGCGCTCTGCGCTCCTCTGACCAAGGCCTGCTCGTTGTCCCTCATTCGAGGTGTCGTACTTGCGGGGACCAGGCTTTCTCAGTCCTAGCAACGTCACTATGGAACCAGTTGCCACCCTCAGTTAGACTGTCCCCATCTCTGCCAGTCTTCAAGAGTCACCTAAAAATCCACCTCCTCCGCTTGGTGTTTCCTGAACATGTTTGAATTTGGCCCTCTTTTGTGTTGATTTTATCTCAAAGTTTTCATTGGTTCACTCTATCCCCTTTTTACACATTTGTCTTCTACTAGAATGTTTCACCTTTTTTGTAATTTGTATTTTGTAATTTGAATTGATTTTATTTTCTGATTTATTCACTATATTTAACTTTGTACTGTACCATGTTCAGTGCCTTGGGCTTCCTGACAGGTTTGCGGAAGGCGCTTTATAAATAAAGCTTTGATTGATTGATTGATTGATTGATATTTTAAAACAAAAAGGAAATTAAAGAGTCTCTATTTTTGGAAATTGCCTGTGTTCCTCCACTCATTTGGCTTGATCCCTCACATTTGGTGTCAGAAGTGGGATCTGGAGGACACAGCATAGTTTTTGCCATGCAGGCTGGAGTACGGACGAGGAAAGGCAACAAAGGGGAAATCAAGGAGACTGTGCAACAGTCTGATGTTGGGGAGATGGAGGATGGAGCTGCAGTCGACCTGGGGGACACCGAGGCTGTGGCTTTCTCATTGATTCAACTATTCTCAAGAGTTGGGTTTCCACAAGAAATTCTTACTGACCAAGGGACTAATTTTATGTCAACCTTGTTGCAGCAGGTTTATAGGTTGCTGGGCATCAGGAGCATGCGGACAACTCCATATCATCCACAGACGGATGGACTGACTGAGCGCTTCAACCAAACTTTGAAACAGATGCTTTGTAAGAATGTCAACAGTACGGGTCTGATTGGGACCAGTGGTTCCCGTATCTTCTCTTTGCCTACAGAGAGGTCCCTCAGGCTTTTACTGGTTTCTCCCCATTTGAGCTCCTCTATGGGCATGAGGTGAGGGGTCCTTTGACCCTGCTGAGAGAGACGTGGGAAGGAGACCAGGGTAAGGCAGAGCCAATTAACATAATTTCCTATGTGATCCAAATGAGGGATAAGTTGCAAGACATGAGTGAACTGGCTCAATCGCACATGGCATCTGCCCAACAGCACCAGAAATTGTGGTTTGATAAAGGAGCTCGACAACGTAGTTTTCTTCCAGGCCAAAAGATTCTGTTGATGTTACCAACTTGTGACAGCAAGCTGCTGGGAAAGTGGCAGGGACCATTTGAGGTTCAGAAACGATTGGGACCTACCACTTACATGATCTCTACTCTAGGTCTGCAGCGGGGAAGTAGAGTTCTTCACGTCAACTTGTTGAAGGAGTGGGTTCCACAGGCAGTTGGCAATATGGAAACGCTGCTGATCCGACATGTGGTGGAAGAGGAGGATGTGGCTGAATATCTGCCTTCAACTGCATCTTCAGCCCTGGACTTGGGTCACTTCACTAAAGAGCAGCAGTCCCAGGTAAAGCCTCTGCTTAACCCAGAAATATTCAATGAGTGCCCAGGTCGAACGGCGCTGGTTAAACACAACATTGTTTTAAGATCTGATGCACATGTGAGGCGCATGAGTTACAGAATACCAGAGCGCTACCTGATTGACCTGAAGAAGGAGGTGGACTCAATGCTGGCTCTTGGGATCATTCAACGTTCAACAAGTGAGTGGTGTAACCCTGTAGTCCTAGTTCCTAAAAAGGATGGAACGATTCGCTTCTGTATCGACTTCAGGTATCTCAATTCTGTTTCAAGATTTGATTCGTACCCAGTGCCACGGATTGATGAGCTCACTGACAGTCTGGGGAAAGCCATATGGCTGACCACCATTGATCTCTCAAAGGGGTACTGGCAGGTTCCCCTCACCAGCCAGTCTCAGGAGCTAACAGCTTTCCCTTGGGGCTTGTTCGAGTTCACTGTTTTACCATTTGGCCTCCATGGGGCCCCGGCTACATTCCAGAGGCTAATGGACCAGGTTCTATGTGACCTGAGAGGGTTTGCATGTGCATATTTGGATGACATTGTCATTTTCAGTGACACATGGGAGGAGCATATGGCACATCTTGAGGAAGTTCTGAAGCGTTTACAGGCTGCTGGTCTGACAATCAACCCCGCAAAGTGTGCTGTGGCCAGGAGGGAGATTCGATACCTTGGGTTCACCATTGGAGGTGGGATTATTAAGCCCCAGGTTGATAAAGTTCATGCAATCGAAACATGTCCTGTTCCACAGACTAGGAAGCAGTTGCGGTCGTTTCTTGGGATGGCCTCATTTTACCACCGATTCGTCCCCAACTTTTCTGCAAGGGCAGCACCATTGACCGATAGGACAGGCTCATGTAGCTCCAACAAAATCCGGTGGACTGCGGAGGCCCTGGCAGCTTTACAAGACATCAAGCATTCCTTGAGTGTGGAACCAGTCTTGTACTCTCCAGACTTTCAAAGAGACTTCATTCTGTGGACTGATGCTTCTGAGGGGTTTGGGGGCGGTCCTTCTACAAGGGACATCAGAGGAGCTGCATCCTGTGGCTTACATCAGTCGCAAGCTGTTGGCCCGAGAGAGATGCTATGCAACAGTGGGAAAAGAGGCCTTGGCCATAAAGTGGTTTCTGGATTCCTTTAAGTACTATCTGCTGGGAAGAGAATTCACTCTGCAAATGGATCATAAGGCTCTCGAATGGCTTAACAGTCTGAAGGATACTAATGGGCGCATAACCCGATGGTATCTTGCCATGCAACCATTCAGATTCAAGGTTCAACATATCCCTGGAAGGGACAATACCACAGCCGACTACCTCTCAAGCTGTGAGGACAACGGAGTGGGGGGGCATGTGATGGCCACATCCATGTCCACACAACGGTGAACGTTAGTACACTCTTGCACTTTTATGATTGCAGTTTGTATGTTTATATTTCTTGGGATTTATTGTTTAGATGGCTTAAATGCATTAGTTCTAATTGTAAGCGTGCACATTTAGTTAACTGCTGTATTTTATGCCTTTCATTTGTTTAATTTAAATTGATTTGTTTTCTCTTACCGGTGCTGAGAGGTTCTACACTTCCTGCTTCCTGAGATGGGACAGGCAAACAGGGTTGAAGGGGTTCCATCAGCTAAATACAGGAGGAGCTGATGGGGCCAAACCAATAGCTTCATGAAGAGGGGACTGAAGGATTTCCTTTAGTTTATTATTTTGTCATTTGTTAATTAATTTAAGTTTGAAGTTAAATAGTTAGGTTTATGGGTTAGGATGTTTAGGTTTATTAACAATCTGACTGTACTGATTTGTGGTTTTAGTTTTAGTTAGTAAATATTTGTCTAGTAATCCCTATTGTTCATATGGTCTGATCAGCCAGTGTGTATATATACCCTTGTGTGTCTCTGTTTGTTAGGTCAGTTATGGTTTCAGTCAGTCAGTATGTTAAGTTAGAAGTTTATTGAGTTTCAGTTTGTTTGTTTGACCTCTTGTGAGCTCGAGCTGTTTTTGTGAGGATATTTTAAAACAAAAAGGAAATTAAAGAGTCTCTATTTTTGGAAATTGCCTGTGTTCCTCCACTCATTTGGCTTGATCCCTCACAAGAGCCAAAGGTTAAAATCTGATGTTAGCCCAGATCTGGACAAGTGGGGGAGTAGAGGGAGGTGGAGTGTACAGTCGGTAAAGACGGCTCTCCCTTGCCCTGCCTCCAACATGCCTCCATCTAAAAGGCTAGGTTTTCCAGAGTTATCTCTGTAGTTATGCTGCTATAGGCAGGCCATTATGGTTATCCCAGCAAAACAACTGCCTCTAGTGAACCTGTTGGTGGTCGTAATCTTATGGCAACATGGTAAATATAGTATGCTGTTCTCTTATCCTCATCAATAGCCTTTAACATTTGCCAAACACCTTCATTCAAATCCAAGTAACCTTCACCTTCACTGTGGCTTACCTCTGACAAGGTACTTCCTAAGGGTACGGGTAATCTGAGCAACGGTCGCACTCTGAATGTTGCAATCTAGTTGCTGGAGAAGGACACGATTCCCGTAATGCAACAGTCCACCCATGAAGATGGGGTAAAGCTCAAAGGGCTGACTGTCATCATACTGCTTTGGCTTTGGGCCATGGACTCCCAAAAGGCTTTGCTCCACTTGATCCAAGACATCCTCATTATAGCTGTCCTCAGTGCGGAACATCTCCGCTGCCATGGTTCTGGCTATCTTCCCTTTGTTCTGACTGATTATTTTCTCAAACAGCTTTGGAAAAAGTTTCAGCAGGTTGAATATGGCGAAGATCCGGAGGGGAATGAACTTGGAAAAAATGTTGACAATGGCATTGACATCTTCACTCGCCTGACCAATGGCCACCGAGACCTCCTTGGTTAGCTTTTCCAAAGCAGATTTGTTTTCTCCTAAAACTACGTACAGAGCGGCTAAGTATTCCTGCATGGCTGGGACAGCAAACACATAGCGCCTTTCACCATTCTCACCGAGGTCTTTCGGAATATACTTTCGACTCTCGACACAAGGAGCCAAAAAGAAGTCTAGGACATCAGTCTGGAACATGGCCAGCAGATGGAGCTCCTCGTCAGTCTTGGTCTTCCCACCTATCCACTGTTCCAGTTCCTTCTCTGAGAATGATGTGCGTTTGTACATTACTCCATCATATGCAAGTTTACCAACTGTACAGACCACATACATCATCAGGGAGCCGTGTTGCTCCTGAATGGACTCATTTGTCGCTGTTCCCGTGCTCAGCACCTCACCACCAAAGTTAAGCCGGAGGAAACTAGTGTAGATCCCTGTCAGTGTGCGGATGGGTGCCTGGGTATTGGTGAAGTGAAGAAAGTGTAAGGTAGCACATGTGAGCCAGCAGTAGGAAGGGAGATAGCAAGCAGCAGCCAGCTGGCTTTCTCTCTGCAGGTTGAGGTAGAGCAGCTCTATGAGAGCTTGGGCTTCTTGGTTCTGAGCAGTTTCTCCCCTCTGCTGCAGCAGGCGGCTGGTGAAGTACGCACGCTGCCGGTCCGGGTCATTGAAACCACAGATCTGTACGTAATGATTCACATACTTCTGTGGGATACGATCCAGAGCCGACAACCTGGTGCTGACCAAGATACTGGCCTAGGAGACAGAGAAGAGAATTCAATAAACCTAGAAAATGCACCAGAATAATGTACGTTTGATTGCCAGAGAACATCCTTCACAATATTAGATGGAAAAAATTCTACATAAAAATGTATTTTAGGAAAATACTGGCAGTAGGTATCTTTAGTCTCCTCATGATTTGATTATGATTCAGAGGGTTAAGATGTGATTATGAAACAATTACTGATGCATCTTTCTAGCTCGCTCTACTCCCTCTGATTGACTACTTGGTGCTCCTAAAGCCCAGGCCACACTACGTTTTTCGGCTGTAGCAAAGGACCGCTTCATGTCACGCTGTGAGGACTCTAGAGAGGTGGCACACTGTACGGCCCGAGATTTCTATGAGTCAAACAGCACGTCTCGCTCTAACAGGACACGATGACATCATGAGCATATGTAACTAAATGCTGATAAGATACTCATGACGACAACGCAAAGGTAAAAAGGCGCCACCATTAAGCTGCACTCCAAAAAGGAGTGGTCCATGTTTTTGTTTCTGCGTATAGCCTTCACTGTTGCTAGTGCTACTCTAGCCTTGTACTTTTGTCACTATTTTTAGTGACTAACAAACTATCCTGCTTTAAGTTTCTGTTACCCACTGCTTTTTGTTCACACAATAAATACATAGCTCAGCGTTCTACAGAATGCTACCATGTCTGACCTCAGGCAGTAAATATTTCCTGAGCAGGTTGACCACAACACCGCCTGGAGGAAGTGGCTCATTAGGGTCACTGCAAAGCTCATAGGATCCGATCCGGAAATCCAACTGCATCTTCTCCATCCCATTAAAGAGGAAAAGCACATCCTTGGCCTGTTCTCCCTCCCCATTAAGTAGAGGGTGTCTTCTCAAATGGAGGTACTTTCTGCCCACCAGATCCCTCAAAGACGCTGGCCTGTTAGGGGAAATATCAGTCACTTTATTATTTAAACAACGATAGGTATGTTTCCATTACCGGAACATCAGGGCACATTTACAGGAATCTCGCGACATGCTCCACTTGACCAGGCTGGCCGAACGGCCATTTTCAGGAACCTTCCAAGTACCTGCTCAGGGGTAGGGACTCCGTACGGCCTGGTGGAGTAGCTGAGTGGAACCTCTGGTTAACTTACACTGATTGGTTGTAACTCAGTAGGAAATGACATCAGCAGACATTCAAAACAACCATTGTTAGTAAAATTAGAAGAGTTGCTGGTGAAACAGAATGAGAGCAAATGAAAATAAGCACCGATCGCACTTAAAATCTAACTCCTGACACCGGAAAACACGGGGAAATGCCCCCACAGACTTAATTACTGGGGCTTTGTTGTCTCACAAAGCGCTGTAAAAAAACCCAGCACTTCTTCGGGTCATTGAACACCACATTTTACGTCACACAGATGCTCACGTCCTCTTAATGGAATAAATTATGATATACTTTGACAGAATAAATGTTTTTAATTTTATTAATGTTACTGTGGACCAGTGGTGGCTTGTCCATAGGGGGTGTTAGAGCGCAGTCACACCAGTCTCCAAATTCCTATCTCAAAAAATTAGCATATCATGAAAAGGTTCTCTATACGAGCTATTAACCTAATCATCTGAATCAACTAATTAACACTAAACACCTGCAAAAGATTCCTGAGGCTTTTAAAAACTCCCAGCCTGGTTCATTAATCAAAACCGCAATCAAGGGTAAGACTGCCCCCCTGACTGCTGTCCAGAAGGCCATCATTGACACCCTCAAGCAAGAGGGTAAGACACAGAAAGACGTTTCTGAACGGGCAGGCTGTTCCCAGAGTGCTGTATCAAGGCACCTCAGTGGGAAGTATGTGGGAAGGAAAAATTGTGGCAGAAAACGCTGCACAATGAGAAGAGGTGACCGGACACAGAGGAAGATTGTGGAGAAAGACAGATTCCAGACCTTGGGGGACCTGCAGAAGCAGTGGACTGAGTCTGGAGTAGGAACATCCAAAGCCATCGTGTACAGGCATGTGCAGGAAATGGGCTACAGGTGCCACATTCCCCAGGTCAAGCCACTTTTGAACCAGCAACAGCAGCAGAAGCGCCTGACCTGGGCTACAGAGAAGCAACACTGGACTGTTGCTCAGTGGTCCAAAGTACTTTTTTTGGATGAAAGCAAATTTTGCATGTCATAAGGAAATCAAGGTGCCAGAGTCTGGAGGAAGACTGGGCAGAGGGAAATGCCTAAATGCCTGAAGTCCAGTGTCAAGTACCCACAGTCAGTGATGGTCTGGGGTGCCATGTCATCTGCTGGTGTTGGTCCACTGTGTTTTATCACGGGCAGGGTCAATGCAGCTAGCCATCAGGAGATTTTGGAGCGCTTCATGCTTCCATCTGCTGAAAAGCTTTATGGAGATGAAGATTTAATTTTTCAGCACGACCTGGCGCCTGCTCACAGTGCCAAAACCACTGGTCAATGGTTTACTGACCATGGTATTACTGTGCTCAATTGGCCTGCCAACTCTTCTGACCTAAACCCCATAGAGAATCTGTGGGATATTGTGAAGAGAAAGTTGAGAGATGCCAGACCCAACACTCTGGATGAGCTTAAGGCCGCTATCGAAGCATCCTGAGCCTCCATAACACCTCAGCAGTGCCACTGGCTGATTGCCTCCATGCCACGCCACACTGAAGCAGTCATTTCTGCAAAAAGATCCCCAACCAAGTATTGAGTGCATTATATATATATATATATATATATATATATATATATATATATATATATATATATATATATGTATAAACCATGAAAATTAAACTACATGATCTCTACATCATACAGACTATGTGCTGTATATAACCTGCATTTAAAGTCTCTATCCGAAGTATTTGTCTTATCTAATGGCACCATCTAGTGGTTGACAAGCACACCACACAAATAATTTCTCCTTTTGTTTTTTAAGATGGCGACTTCACGTTTCTAGTTTATTTATGTCCTTCTGTAAGCCGACAAACAGAGCTAAAACATGTTGTTTTACGAGTATGATTCTCATGTCATGTTGTGTTCTCATATATTTATATTTTAGAGACTTACTTGTCCGTGGAAAGTTCATCAACGCTGCATCAGCCAAGGTATTCCTTAAATTTGAAGCCTGTAAGTGGTAGTCTAACCCTATTGGTTAGTTCTGGTCGGATCTCAGTTTCCTACTGCACGGAGCTTCGCGGGGCAGGGGGCGTGCTTAGCAAAAAACAAAAAATAAAAGACGTATTGCTTACATTATATTGAAGTACCTGATGAGACAATCACTTTCTACAGATTTCTGAAACATGATACATCATTTCTGAAGGGAGAAAACTCCAGAAAGCTACTTTAAGTGTAGTTTAAAATGTTATTTACATTTTTAACACTACTGAATCGTCTTGTTACTTTTGGGTGCAGCAATAGACCTACGCTAACTGGCACATGCGTGCTGGAACCCCCTGTCAGGAATAAATAAAACACCCTAACCCTCACCAAAAAAATTCACCAGCCGCCACAGCTGTGGACACTTTTTGGCACTGATCAGTGACATCATTCATTGCCAAAGCAGTCGCAATATTCTAACATCTGTGCAAAGTTCTGAAAGGGCTGAATTTGAATAGAGAAAGCTGAGAGGACTGGGAAATCCTATCTCCTAGTCAATTTCTCCATCCCAAGAATTACCCTGGAGTTCCTGTAATGGACAATGTGTTTGCTGTTGTCGTTTTAGGTTTTTTTTTTTTTTTTTTGCTATGTTTAGTCTGGCTTCAACTAGTTATCAGTAGGGTTAGGCTTTCTCTTTCAACTGCAGGTGGTTTTATTCTTCTTACCATTTAAAATGACTTGTAAGGTACATAATTCCTAAAACCAAACAACGACAGAAAACAGATGGGTATTATTCACACTGGAGTGTTTATAGAGGCAGTAGAGACTGACACGGCAGCACATAATTATGCTAAAGGTGAGGTTTACATAATTTGTCCCCTGCAACATGCCCACCCATCTCCTGTTCCTGTATGCCATCACAATTATGGACTTTTTGAAACAACTCATTTAGGCGTATAATTCCTACAAAAAAAAAAAAACGATAGAAGACAGATGAATGGGTTTATAATGTTGGAGAGTTAACAGAGGCAGTAGAGACCCACACGGCAACACAAAATGTTACAAAAGGTGGGTTTTGCATAATATGTCTCCTTCAGCGTGTGCAGTTCCTGCTGCAGCGCGCTCTTCCGTTTTAAAAGCTTATAGGACTGTCGTAATTCAATGCTAGTCAAGCTACGGGCTGATTTACCGGTGATCAGACGGCAATCGGGGAAACGAACTTCCGGTGGAGAAATTCTTCATCTCCGTACAAAAGAATAATACACAGTGTCACAAAACACTCAGAAAAGACATTAAAACATGTATTTACATTAAAGATGACAATAGGAAAAACCTGTGCTTTAGCTTAAAACTCCAAAGCCCTTTTCAGATAGACATTCTGGAACATTTGTGGACAATTCAATCCGGTTTTTAACCGGAACTGTGTTTTCAGACACACCACTTTTGTACCGGAACTTGTCCTTTCGGCTGCGTTCACACAGCAGGGAAAAGTTACAGATGTCTGACGGCGGCGGGGGGGTGGTGGGGCTAGAGAGAATCGGACTCATGTTAAGAAGAAGAAGAAGAAAATATAATTTCTATAGCGCCTCTCAAGATAAAAATCACGAGGCGCTTAAGCATAATTCTGCGCACACGAAGACGCATAAGAGACCTGGATGATGAAGCTCGATGGTTAAAGGAATCACTGAAGCGGTGTGAAGCGCTCCGTCCGCGCGTCTAGGCAGTACCGTAGAAGGCGAGCTGCCATGGTTCGCCGCATTCTACAGCAGCGGGCTATCTAGGTGCGCACAGCGTCCCCCGGTCCCCTCCTCCTCCCCCTTGTCCGGAACTTTACCTCACCGGTCTGAATCAGCCACCCTGTCCGTAACAAGTCCGGACCTGTTACTAGGGGCTTCGTCCGGATAAATTCCAGAACACGTTATCCGGATGTTTGTATTCAGACACAAAGGTCTTACGGACAAAGTCCGGAACATTTCTGTTTTTCATGGCCTGTCTGAAGGGGGCTCAATATGGCTTGAGCTGACGTCAGCCTTAAATGATTTGAGATGAACCAGCGCCTCCTGCCGGGGGTGAACAGTATCACTCCCCCTTTTGACTTTAAATGGAGGTGCTGCACTCTAGCGGTGGATTACGAGATGGTCCCGTTTTCAGCCAGAAACATCAAGTTTTATAAATTTTTGAGTGTTTACTGTCTAAAAATGTCTCAGAATGAGCATGAAGTGTCAAAAATGTACAAATATCTGGCAAAATGGCTCGCCATTATGCAAAAATTTAATATACATATTATTTAATGAGCCATTTGACATAAAATTCCATAGTAAATATGAAATCAATCTTATAGATCTTTGGGTACTTTTAACCAGAAGATTGGAACTTTTTATTGCAGGGATTATGTAACACTTCATATTAACTGAGAGACAACAGAAGAGAGAGTCACCTTTAAAACATTTAAGAAGATTTATTTCTAAACAATTTTGAACAAGACTAACTCTAAAATCTAAATGAATGGATGGATCTTGGTGTGAATGAGACGTGAGATGAATGGTGTATGTGTGAGTGATGTAATCAGAAATCTCATATCCGGAGAAGCAAGTCTGAATGATGTAGTGATGTTTTGCTCTTAAGCTATGATCGGAGTTTCATAAACACATGAAACGCCATTTTGTCGCTCCACAAATACCCCTAGAATGATACCTCAGTACAGATCCAGAATGCCAGGTCCTCGAACCCCCCTTTCGGTACCGGAGCCGATGAAACAGCGTCAGCAGTACGACAGACTAGTCTTTGGATTGTCCCCAGGTAAAAAGCGACAGTTGGTTGACAGCATT